CATCGATGGCAACGATGAATTCTACCACTAGACCAATGATGCTGGTACTTGTAATGCTTGGCAATTGAGTGATTTAAGTGCCAGTGAATTAGATGATTAATTCTGACTATAATGGAATTCGCTATAGTAATATGGAGCATTACTGAACAATTGCAAATAAGAACATGACAACTGCCTGCAAGTGAAACCCTTGCAGACATACATGACTTGATCTATGCCTCACATCATCCATCTCAGACTTTTACCAAACCTAACAAAAACACTAGAATTCTTGAACAAAGGAAGCATCCAAATCACCGCCGTCCACGCCGTCCACATCTTCCACGTGCGCTTATCAGCAGCTCCTTCCCGAAGGAATAGGATCCTCCCAGCAATAGCCATTCCCAATGCAACCGGGAGAATATACCCGGGTACGTCCAGCTCCCAGAAAGCAGGAGAAACAACGGACCAGATCGCAACAGGAATCGCAACGGACCACCGGGCCGGCCCGTCACCCAACACAATGGGCATTGTATGGCGGTTCTTCGCACGGTCTCCTTCCGCGTCCTTGACGTCTTGAATATGCATCGTCGTGCCGATCACAGCACTGGTGAGCCAAATCCACCGCCACGCTCTAGGAAGTATGTCGAATCCGGTTCCGGTCGCGACACGCAGTGATCCCTTGTTGTATTGACTGAATGCGAGGGCTAGAAGGACATTCCGTAGAATGAACCCGTCGTCACCACCGCTCAGGTCATTGTATACCCAGTTCATCGTGTAGAGGAGAGCAGTCTCCTCCCATGCACCGAGGTAGACGCTGAGTCCGAGCACAACTGGGATCGCGAGTAAGAGTAGCTGGCGAGTATGCAGGATGCTGATTTGACCTGCGGGCAGTGGTCTCCAGGGTCGGTTGATCTTGTCTTCTGCCACGGAGTCCGGGTGCCTCTGATTCGCCAGATTGAACACGAACAGGTTCAGCCAGTTCCACAGCATGACCATGGGTATTCGACTGACTACTGAGAGTAAGTCCGGAGTGTTATTGTCTGTCAGAAGAGGCCCGGACAGAGCAGCACAAATGCCAAATGCTGTCTCAGGAATGACAAATGTTGCAAAGTCGTCCGCAGTGAACAGCCAGTTAGTCAGCGCAAAGCCCTTCCAGTCCCATTCTTTCTAGACGCCTGTGAGCCTTCTGGACTCGTGAGTATACTAAGGATCACTCACATTATAAACACTCGTATCGCTCTGTCTTGTCTTTACGACATCGGTTTTGAGTGAAGCACTTGCAGCGCCAAGTAAAGAAGTGCAAATCTCGTAGAAGCGAGAAAAACCAACAAGATCCATTTTTTTCTGCATTTCAGACTTTGTTCCGCTTCCACAGCAGAGAGATGTCTGCGTTGATATTTGAAAGATATCTTGGAGAAGGCCTAGTCTCGGGTGCGTCGCACCCTTTTATTCCTTGAATCAATACATGTCAAGATTGGAGTTGGCACTATAATAGCCTCAGAGTCCACCTTTCAGCTCCTGTCTGCGAACTTTTGCAGTGGCTGGCTGTCTCGATCTTCAGCTAAACCTACGGCCAAAGCCGACGAGCTGGTGTGTGATACCAAATAAGCAAAAACGACGAGATTTTGGTTATCCTTGCCAATGGCGCCCTCTCGATACGGGTTGTAGCTGAACCGTTACACAACTGAATGACGCCACACATGGTCTTGTCAGACGGGCGGAACATAGCGCCGAGGTGGCTTTTTCATGCTGTCAGATAATATTCACCAGTGAAGTCAGTTGAATCCTCGGACCCAGTTGCCTGCGCTGTCTGGTGCGCAAAAAGCAAGGTCCTGGGGGCAGAAGTGGTCATTTCAGCCTATAGGCGGGAGGTGACAACAGAGTCAACACTAGCGTTGCGTTCTGATGCCTAACAGGATTGTTCACATATTCGACCTGAATGAAGCAGTGACTTGTGGGAAAGATGTGCAACACACAATGTATCATGGAATGTTTACAACATCGCCAGCCAAGCAACTTTTAGCCGTCGCATAAAAGGTACCCTCATCTTCGACGCTCGCGCCAGATTTGTTCCTTTCTGCTCCCTTAGCAGCCGTCCAATATCCATGTAGCTCTCCACGGTTGCCCGAAGTGGCCCTCTTACACCACGAGGTAGCTCCTCAATTGCCTCTCGGCTGACCTGATAATATCCATCTGCTTTCTGCAGCATTCTCTCCTGCAGGCCATACATGATTGGGATATTGGGACGCTTTAGTACATCTCCTGGAGTCAGGCCTACTTCATCCAGCCACGTTGTAGGAATATATACTCGTCCAATTGCTGCATCGCGATGGATATCACGTGCAATGTTGACACACTGCATGGCTTTGCCCATCTCCTTCGCCGCCCGTTTCAACAGCGGCACATCTTCCGTATAGTCGTGGCCATGATAAAATAGGACAAGATCGAGAAATAATGCACCCACCGCGCCAGCTACAAAACCTGCGTACTGATCAAGGAAATCGTCCGATTTGATCGGGAAACCTCCTTTCTTAGGATCGAATGCCAAGTCGGTCTCGAACCCTCTCAGCAAATCATAGAAGAAACTCTTAGTTAAGCGGGGGAGTGGAAGGTAGCTGATCGATTGGTACAGCCTCTGATATTTTCCTCCTTGTTTAGAAGCATGACAAGCGTCATGAGGTAGTCGACCGCGATGGCTTAAGTCTAGGAGGTATCTGCACTCTGTGATCCAAGTCTTGGCTTCCTGATCATCTTCAGCTTCGTCAATGAGATCATCCATGACGCGGCAGAAGTAGTACCTATGCATATCAGAAGAATGAACAACACATGAGATTGAGGGGCATTACAAGAATATGAGATCAATGCGTAGCTGACCCTGAAATAATGCGCTGCCGAGAAACATGCTCTGACTCTTCTCTTGCAGACAATATACGGCCTGGGACAATGCAGATAGAGATTCGTCTATAGACAGCGGACTGCACAATAACGACAGAGCTGTCCTGAGCGTGGTGCCCTTATATGCTGCTAGCCGTGATAGGGACTTGTATTCTTGGAGTGCATATGCGTAATCAATCCCAACTAGTCCTAACACAATCATCATATTGGTGACCAGAAAAAAGAGTGCCTCTCTGTTACTGTTAGACTTAATGTCTAATGATCACAGGTGGGTTTGACTGACTCAACTTCTAGCCCACCGATCCGATAACCCAATTTTGTGCCACTCTCTATCCTCCAAGTCCCAGATTCCATAGCACGGGAATCCGCAACCCAGAGATATAGCGTAGGGAGGCAGATCGCAGCGATTGTGGGTTTTGCGGGAAGTCCAATAAGAAAAGGATGGGACAACATCCTGTATTCTCGCATGAGCATTTCAATAGATTCAGAGTGGACTGATCTTACCACTGGAATAGCAAGATTGGACTGACCCACACGAGGATCAGGCCCAGGTAAGTCATATGCCGTCCCAACAGCAGGCACGTTGTTCCACCACCCATCAACGTTAAAATGACAAATGCAACCACATTTCTTGTTCTACGTCTCTCCGGATGCGGCCGAAGGTACATGGGTCGCACAAGCGGCTTCGTGAAGATACAATATGCCACACTCGTGATGTAGGTTTGTATGGCAAAAAAGAAAACCTCCTCAATAGGAATATCGAGTATCTTGGGACCGATTACTGCGTCGGGCGGATACGTCCAGATAGCAGATCGTATCAGGTAGGAATCCCAGAGAATTGTTGCAAGAATGGCAATCTGTCAGTCCCGGGTAAGTTAGATCAGAAGTCCTTGGTTTCAAGGTACGGTTGAACTACCGTAATCAGAATGCATATTTTGCAACAGTCTTGCGCGGCGAAGAATGGGTAGTACATCACTGTCAGTGCCGATGCAGCAGGAATAGTGTAAGTGCAATGACTACTTGCGCACTTTAAAATTAGCAGATGTAGAAAAGAGGTTGGTAGTAGAGACGCCTCTTACAAAAGAATATAGTCGACCCCCAATTCGCTTCATAGTTATCTCGCGCTCCCTTACGGCGAGCACCAAGAGTATGAAACTTATATTCGGAAAAGGGCGCTCGGCCCTCTTTGCAAGGTTCAGCCGAATCCTGTTTCACTGCCCCAGCTTCCGGATAGGAACCGATTGCGGTTGCGTCTGAGCTTCATGAGGACTGAAAAGTTTGTTTGTGATGGTCATTGCCCCACTGGAATACAGGATAGATTTGAGAAAGTCTAGTTTGGATCAGTGCCAAGGAGCTTAGAAGTCGTCCACCCGCTGTCAATTGCATATTGGAGATACCCTCATTGAGTATCCGATCGACAGACCAGAATGATGGCTGCAACGTGCCTACCCGATCGGGTAGTGCCCTTTCCTTCCCTTCTACCTATTTAGAAAGCATCCTTAGTAGTAACGAACAATTGAACAACTATCTGCCTTGCCTTCGTTTTCTTCTGCTTAGTCGCTTAGAATTAAATCCGCTTGCTCCGGCACGGAGCAACTGCAATGCGTGAGGTGCTGACTTTTTCTGACCTCGTGACAGGAGTATAGTTGGCCGGAGTAGTGACCAACGCATGAAACAGTGACCAGCTGGTCTTTCTCGACAGTATTGAGCTGTGGCGACCAAATACAGGATCGACGCGATGGAAAAGTAAGCCTGGAGTCGTACGATATAAGTAGAAAACGAGATGAAGCTGTAGTGGGGGAGACCAATTAGAGAAAGGGGGTGGGTCACGTTATCGGGATAGTTACTAACTACTACTGCTAGATGCCCTCAGGGACTCTCCCCCACTCTTGACAGCTTTCTTATCAACACAGTCTGACTGCATTGGCTGTTCAATGCAAATGTCTTTCGATATGCAATGCTCCAAACGCTTTAAAGTTCATTACCTCATATTCAGATAAACCACTACCAAGCTAATTCTGGTCTGGCCATGCAGCTCGCCGCTTCCAGCTGTGAACAGAACCTCTCCTCCTCTGCCAGCTTCCCCGTCCTCATCTCCCCAGTCATCTTGGGAACAGCGGGCCAGATCTCCTCCCCGCCTTGGGCCTCTTCTTTTCGCCGGTGTTCCATGACCATTGTCCTCACATCTTGTTGAAAATGGATGGGCCCCTGCCCACAGTCAGTTCTGCCCAATCACACATCTCTTCTGTCAGTGTCTCATACGTACCCTCTCCTTGTCTGGGTGAAGCTCGCCATTCGTGAACACACCCGCGCTCAAATTTTCTTGTGCTCCAACACAGAGATCTTTGTCTTCATCCAGTACTTGTCGGTAAAACGCATTTATATTGGCAAACTCCTCATCCGTTGCATCTCTGTGTCGATATACTTCGTTTTCGATCTTGCTGGTCGTCGCGCTAACAGGGATCATGCGTTGAATGTAGAAGAATTTATCCCTGCTATCGTGTTAATAGACCATCGACTCCTTCCAATCGGGTACAAACTTACGTGACTGTGACCGATGTGGTTGGGTAAAAGTATGTGATTGACCTCCGGAACTGCGCATCAGTATTGTCCTTGTTGAAGATATGATGCTCCATATACCTCGCCTTGGGCTCGACCCGGTACCGAGGAAGATCCGACACTCCGTTGATCAGGGGGTGTGAGGTCGCGCAGTGATAACATTCATTGTAGTTCTCGATCAGAAGCTTCCAGTTCGCCTCCACGTCCATTTCCCAGTAATGGTCAAAGGTGTATTCCCCATCAAAGTCAAAATCCTGCATCCGCGGCTGCTCATCGATCTTTTGGAAGTCGTCGTCCCACTTGACCTCCGGGTCGCCGGCCTCTAGATTCACCCAGACGAAGCCTGCCTTGTCGATGTGCACATGGATTGGGAGGAGTCCATGTTGACTTTTGTCAAAGCTTGATACGGTTTCGAAACGAGGTGCCTTCGATAGGTTGCCCTTCAGTCCGTAGGACCAGCCGTGATACTTGCAGCTGAGGATAGAGGTAGTTCCGGATCGAGCTTGGACCACCGGGTATGCGCGATGTCGACAAATGTTGTGAAATCCGTTGATGTTGCCGTCGCGGTCTCGAGTCAGGAAGAAGGAGAAGTTAGAGATGGTAAAGGAAAGAAAGTTGCCAGGCTTGGTAAGTCGACTGGAATGTGTGAGTAACATCCATCGCTTGGAGAAGATGGCTCGCCGCTCCAGCTGATACATGGCATCAGAGCGATACCATGATGCCGGAAGGCTCCGAGGCGGAGAGCTTTTCTCTGGGGTGTTGGAGGACCGGCCAAGTAATCGCCACATCGTGATGGAGTTTGTGAAACAAATTGTCGTAGTGGCTCAGAGGAGCTCGGATCATCACAGTGCCTATATAACAGAGCAGCGCTGGTAAGTGGGGTCTTGATTCGGCGTTGTCACATCAAAAATGGGGGCGTTAGGAGCTCGCCCGAG